CGAAAGGTTTCTTCAGGACCTGAAAACAGACAACTTTTATTGCTGGGCTTGACTGATGAAGCAGGGCTTCGCGGATCCCTAGAATGCCTTCGCGGACCCTAAAGGGTCCGTAGACCCCTATTTGAGAACCAATTGTTTAATTCATGCGCCGTATATATTGCCACGCGCCGTACAATCGATAAGAGGCGAGCGAACCCGGTGATCACTGATAACGCAACAGAGCCATAACCACAGACAGAATGACATCACTCAAACTAACGCGCAGCCGCCAATGGGAGCCTCGTCGACGCGCGCCTGCCAATGGGACCGAAGTGTAAAAGGTGCCGTTGGTTAGGCTTGCGCGTGGTTTCATTAAGGTGCCATTTTGCATGGTTTCAAAGGTGATGACGTCGGCTCGCTCCATGAGACAGTTAATGCTTTCACATTAAAAGAGAATAATAGAGGGGCATCGCAACCAGCAAATCTCATTTCAAGGACACTGTGGCCACTCCATCCCATATTATGTTAAACTTCTAGGTCACTTTGATGCAACTTTCCTACATCATTGCCCGCAAATTAGGGTTGGCTTGCTCGAAGCCAAATCATTCCGCATTGTCTATGAATCTCAAGAAAACAGATTTCTAAGGTTGCGGCGAGCGAGAGTCCAAACCTATCCTCCGTTCACCCTCAAGTTGAGACTATACTCTGTTTCACCTTATAATGTACCGCAGGAAAGGCTAGAAGCGCGAGCTCCTTACTCTAGGACACACCTGGGAGGCACAAGCTCTCGTGCGTTAAAGGTAGCTCCCAACGCTATGAGCTCGCGCTTCTAGCCTCCTCTGCGGTACAGCATTAGGTGAAACGGAGTATACAAGCTCCGCCTTCAGCGCGAGCTTCCAGCCCTTGTTAACGCACGTGTGAACGCGCAGGCACGCGCAACCAAAGCGCTGCGGAAGCCAGCGAGCTCGCCCAGAAGGCGAAGCTTCAAGTCTCAGCCTAACGGTGAATGGAGAATTGTTTTGACAATACGTCTGTTCGATTCGCCTAACTGGCTGAATGAGTTCAGCAGTGCAGGAACTGGTGCATTCGATTAAACCGGAAGTTGTACGGCCGCTGCACTGGCGTGTTCGATTTATCTCAGTTCTGAATGAGTTCAGACCCAGTTCCTCAATATCTTGAATCGGCTCCGGAGTCAGTTCAGCGTCGGTGCAGAAGCAGACGACAAGAGCAGACGGCGATAGCAGACGACACTCCTCGTCCGTCTCTGCTCATGGTGCCATTTTTCGCAGCTCTTGCTCAAATATCTGCGATGTGTAACAATAACGCCGATACGGAGGTTGCGTTTCCTCTCATTTATGATAATAACGTACCAGCGGTGGACGCGGAATTTAGATTATAACCGACGGTAGGAATTTGATTGATTATGATATTCTGAAAGCGTTTTAGGCACCTGCTCGGGTAGGTTTGGCTCCCTGCGATAAGTGTTGAAATATTGGCTCACGTAAATGTTTCCTTTTGATGCTATGTGGGGATCCAAAGTGTTGATATTTTTCGTTACAGACGCGGGAGAGGTATTGCACTCTTGATAGTCCCCACCTTTGGTTGCTCTTGGATGCATACTGACGACTCCGATACGTTTTAGAGGTCTGGGATTCACTACATTGGCCTTCGCATGCCCCGTAATTGAGCATAATACTGCATACTATGTCCGCTGGTATCTGTGGACGCCCACTAACGGGCCTGAGAAGAACGCCGAGAATGGGCATTGGCTTGGTAGTTCCACGCTGGTCTTTCTTGAAAATCAAAATAAACGCTTCAGCTTGACGCCAAAGTTACGGTCGATAACTGTCTTTGCTGAAACGCTATCGTCAGGCCTTCGTCTTCGAGATGATCGCTACCGACCGCGCGCTGCCGCCAGTGACTCCCGACGCAGAATCATCCTGATGCCGCGAGCCTATTGTCGAAATCCGAAATTGGAGAGACTTGGAGTACACATACTATTGCTAAATGAATGTGAAGGACACGAACGCTTACGAAAACTACCGGAACCGAACGTCCGTTAAAAATGCTGACAGAAATATTTCGTGCAGAAAACGTTTTTAGTACACTCGAAAAAAAAAATGTTCACACAAAAGACTCGGTTATTATAATATAAAAATAGGAAAACACGAATGGTCTCATCAAACCGCGACTAATTAAATGTAGCATACAACGTGGCGTGGAGAAACAATAGCCAACAGATGCAGACGACACCCTGCGCTTTCGCTCGGAAAGCCGATCACAGCGCCAGTCCTAGCGCGGCGGCTGCACTGGTTCTAAGCCGCCGCTGCACGACTCCTGCTCTTTTTTGAACTCGGACAGAACTAAATAAGAACTTTCTGGCCGATTCGAACAGACCTAATGTTTTATCATGATATAACTAACCGACTTCCCTTGGATCAATTCAACATAGGTATTCATTACACAGACAGCCGTCAAGGTTTTCTAGAATTTAGTGCCTTAAAACATTTTGATCTACCAGATATCAGTCAGTTTCAGAAAGAAAAAGAAGGTAAGAAAAACGCAAACGACCTACCTTTAGTTTTCAAATACCATCGGTAACAGTTTTCTCTTTTGCCTAACAATGTGAGGCTAAAAACAAACACATAACGATCTCCTCGCACAAAAAAGGATAACCCATTGAAGGGGGATACTATCTGGACGATACAGTAGCTCTTAGTCGGACACGCTAAAGGCGAAAAAATGACGTACTAAAAAGTGATCGGAAGTAAAATCAGTAACAATAATTACGAACATGATAGTAAACCCTGAAACTGGGGTAGAACAAAGTCACAACAATAAGAAATACAGAAACCAAGTGAGAAAGATGGCGTAAATACCTCTGCTCAAAAATAGGCGAAAAATAATTTTCAGGCAGAAAACACATTTGTGAGAACCCACAAAAACAATTATGGGGGAAAACAAAAAATTCGGCTTTTCTATAAATCAGTGTCCACTCCATGACCTATTCAAATAATTACTGATGGAAGATATGATAATGAGTGACCTAAATATTATGAGGCACGAGACTAAAAATGGGGATGATAACTGTTGTTTTCATGGTTCTAGTCTTCGTGTGTTTCACCACTAAGAACTGGTTCCAATTGTTAGAAAAGGCGAAGCCATTTTTTTCACAACGAACAACGCACTATAATGAAATTTAAAAAAAATGGAAGGATGCGATGAAGGCACACAATAGATACGCTGTAGAAGTTCCCAGAGAGTGTTCACCGGGGAGTGGTTGCTGGAGATGAGGTTCCGCGCTGATCAGTCCTTGTGAGGTGAAGGCGCCTTCTGATGAGGGAGGTCGATGCTGGCGTTCGGGAACGAACGCCGTCCTGGACTCGACGTCAGCGATCCCTTGGTGCGTTCTCCATCCGTCTCGGTATAGGGGCAGGCTAGTGGGATGGCGCAGGGGGGTTTGCAGGAAACCTGAAACTCCCGTTCTGGGCGCCTGACGAATTTTGTTTCAAGCCCGGGAACCACGGCCGTCAACCTCGCACACCGCCACCGCCTTTTTTTCCGAGCTCCGTCGTAACACACCTCACTTCGTCTTCTTCTTCTTCTCCTTGTCTCTTCAAAAGCTCCAGGCCACACCGCTGACGTCGCCGCCACTCTCTTCGCTTTCTTTTTGCTGTCCCGGCAGCACTCCATCCGTCACGCGATCACCAGCATCATCCATCCCCGCGCGTTCGCAGTCAGGCCACCCACACAACACTCGTTCGCGCACAACACAATGACCATTATGTTTGTTTGTACTTTCGCAGTGTCTGTTGGATGCTTCGCTGAACTGCAAAAGCTATGTGTATAAGGAGTATTCACTGGGCGCCATATTTTTGGGTGGTGTCTGGAGCGCATGCTCAGAACGAGCCCCCATTAATACGCTGCCAAGACCGGCCATTTTGACGGTGTGGAATGCACGTTGCAAAAGAACCCTGGAAGCTATAGACCCTTCCCGAAATTCAGTGCCATCTGGTGGTTTGTAAAGCAGTTTAGGTTTTGCCATATCAATGGCGGAAATGAACTTGTATCGGCACCGTCAGTTTCGCAAGTCAACGGCACGGGAGGAATTGTTCAGTGTGAGTTCTTTCTCAATCACTTTCAGTTCGATGGTGACCAAGAACCTGCATTCAGAACAAAGCTCCAACCCACTCAGATGCCTCGAGAAAATTTTATACACCAAAGAGTTTTAAAGCCGATTGTGTGCCGCCCACAGATTGACTGGATCTGAGTTATTGGAAATAAACGCTTACGTAGCTCTTGTGTTTCATTCCTATGTCGCGTCGTACTGACCCCCCGAATGTACAGGCCTCGCAAGACCCACTTAGGAGCATCTTCAACGTCTTCCTTTATCAGTCACTAGAAGGCCGCCATTGGTATGGCACAGATGCCATTTCACAGATGATGATAGTGATCAATGTGGCCAGACTGAATTTCGGAAAGGGTGTATAGCCATCAGCACGCGCTCAGCAGTCGCGCACACAGCTATGGCCGCCCGTGAATTCTTATACAGTCATGATAGGGCAGTGAAGCCCTTTTTATCAAGCAGCAGGTTACCTGTCGTGCCTCTCAATACAGTGTGCGATATTCTTTGGGAGCTGCATGCGTCGTTATGGGAGCAAGAAGAAATTACAACGATAGGCCGGTCTGAGATTTAAAATATAATTTTGCAACCGATTGTTTTCGGCCATATATCATGATCAAACCTTAGCTTCCTTACACTGTGCCAAAATATATTTTGTATCAAATACCTATAATATACTTGACAATAAAGTTGTGCTGTGTGCGGTTCCGGTAATTACAACATATTGTATTACACCATTTTCACTCTCTCAGAATATTATCAAGTAGTAGTATTAAAAAAACGTTTTTTCTTAGGGGGATGGAGGTAGGGGAAGGAGTTCATGGCAGCCCTAGTTTCCCGATATGGGGGTGCGGGGATGGATATGTGTATTTCTAAGCCAGATTCGAGAATAAAATACACAACCGTGCGTACAGTGTTGCCTTGTTTATCAGGAAGGTGGGGTAAAGACCCATTCCACCATGGAGGTCACCCGTTCATCATGCACTTCTTCCGTGTTGTCTCAAGGCCCTTGGAGCCCCATTAAGGTTATCTATACTGACCCCATGTTGGGGGTCCATGCACGAGCTGCATGTCGGGGGCGTCCCCACCATTTCCCCGCGCTGTAGGCGCTATTGGTTCTAAGGTCAAGGTCCCTTCATTTTCCAGTTTACTTCCAGTCGTCGGGCAAAAAACAACTGTGACTGGACATCTTGACCTTTTTAAGATGAGGCCCATCTTCATATCCGGATTCTCGGACACTCTGGATTGGAGGCCCCTGTACTTCGAAGAGTCCTCCGCTGCACACAATGCATGCTCCCTGTGTGGCCTGGTGTCGAGAAATGTTCTCAGATTGCCCTGTGAGCACACGCTCTGCTTGGAATGTCACGAGGAGTCCCAGAGGCGAGGTAGTACTTGTCCACTGGATGAGGAACCCTTTGAAGACGATAACATTGTTCACCTTGATATCTCAGGAGGTTATATGCTGAAGCGTACGGTAAGTAAACCCAAACCAAAAGTTGCAGCAATTATAGATATAGTATCGAAACTTTACAAGGTACTTCAATCTTGAATATTTTTGTCTTTTTTTATGGCTAGGATTGCGTGTTTTCGGAGTTTATTTCTCGCGAAATTCTGGGGGTGTTTTTTGGAATTTATTTAGTGCCCAATAGTTGGACTTTAACGGAGTTTATTTTTGCTAGATTCCCAATTCTCCGAAATAGGGAGTTAATTTTTGCTATATTTTCTAATGTTCAAAATTGAAAATAAAAATATAACTTCTCCCTAGACTTATAAGGAAGAACGTGTACCACGTGACATTGGCACCCTTGCCATTAGTAGTACTACCGTAAACTCTTGGGGGATAGCCCACCTAAAACCAAGAAAAAATTGGGTGAAAATTAGTAGTGGGCAAACTTTCGGTGCGTGTTTAAGAAAAGTTTAAAAATTGCTTTTTTTTACATCATGTGTTTTTGTCACTTGTTATGCCGGCAAGGGGCAATGAAGCAAATATGACTGTACTTCCCAGTCAGCACTATTCGCTTAAATCCCGCTATAGCTAACTAGACGCATTTACAACAAGGCCATCATTGATCCGAACACAGCGATTTTTAGGAGTGGGCTATCTTTCGGTGTTTAAAAGAAAATAGCGAATGAAGCCAAAAATAGGGGTGGGTTACCTGTCGTAAGTAGGGCAACTCTCGGGATATTAGGGTAACTGTCTCATGACAAACCTGAAAGTAAAAGTATATCGAAGTCTATTTTTGTTTGATTCTCAATTCTCCGAAGTAAGGAGTATAGTGTTGCTATGTGTCCAAACTTTCAAAATTAAAAAAATAAAGATATATATTAATCGCGGGTACAACTCAGCCCTAGATTTATAAGTAACCAAGTGCACCATGTAGAATTGGCGCTTTTGGCATTAGTAGTACTAGTAACTGTCCCACGACAAAACTTGAAAAAGGCACATTAAAATCAATGAGCTCCTTCATGTGGCCGGTAGAGGGCTATTTTTCTTTTCATTCAATTCTACCTCTTCTCCCTGGAGTTGCGCGGAGCGGAGTGGTGAGATAGAAGCCTCAACTGTCCCTCTTATGACATGTAAATCTCGTTCACACATTTGCGTCGACTGCGTTGCACTGCTTCGCGTCGTGCCGCCCAGCGCCTCTCCAATGGCTCGTCGCAAGGGTCGCTATAGGAACAGCTCGACGTAAACAGTCTTAACAAGACGTAAGTGGATGCAGTCGCACTCCAACGCAACTGTGGGAACGAGCCTTAATAGTCGATAGCATTCACAGTTATCAAATGACAACCCGTCCTTCCTCCAAGTTCAATATGTAAAACAAAACAGTGGTTTATTTTGTGACAAAGAATTACAACGCCCCTTTGTCCTGACGGAACCCTCACGGGATAGGCGACGAACGTTCTTTTGTCGACACTACAAGATTTTGAAGGAATCTGAGAAGGCCTCTCGTGCTGACCGCTGAACCTCTGCTTTGACCAAACTTACTCTTAAAAAAGTGAACTTTTTTTTTTTGGCTTCCGTGACCTTTAACTTTGGAATTTTTCGGATATATTCGAATTAAAAAAACTTTTACCCTGGAGTGTTTTGTTTTGTTTTTGTTTCAGGACTTTATCGGATTTGTCCAAAAACACGCAACACTTTTATAGCCCACTTTTATTCAATAAAAAAAACATTGCATGCCAAGTATTTACCATATTTTTTTTACAACAAATAAAATATATATATTTTTGTTATATTTTCCTCATGGTTTTCAGCAATCAATGTGAACAAGTCCCCAAACTTTATCAGCTTCCCTCCGGTCTCCAATTTGGATATTGGCTTCTTGTTCCGTCCTTTCTTTTTTTCAGCTAGGTTATAATTACATATGTCTTCAACTCTCTTTTTTTCACAGGTAGCCTGCGTCAATGCACCCAATGGTTGCGACTTCATCGGTCAAGCTTCCAGACTCGTGGATCACTACAAGCAGTGCTCGTTTCACGTCGTGCCTTGCCCCAGGTGCCAATCACCAGTGCTAAGGACTGAGCTCGTGGGTCACTGTAAAGGCGGCTGCAGTTCTGCGTCCACTACACCCGTGCCCATTCCGTATTATATAAACGTGAATTATGATCATTTAGAAATTACAAGCAGTGAACTGAAAAGAGAGATGTTCAAGATATCCCAAAATCTCTCTTGTCTTCAAACCGGCCTCAACCAGTGGTTTGAGGAAGTCCGTACATTGGAGAAAAACACAAACAAGGAACTGAATGACGCAGCACTCAAGATCTCTGACCATCTCTCCGGTCTGAACAGCTCTCTGGAACAGTCCCGGGAAGATGGGAGGGAAGCAGCCAGAAACACCAAAGAGCAGTTGGAAGCTCAATCGTCGAGACTTTCCGAGCAGTTGGACCGAATCGAAACTAAAAGTTTTGCTGCAGCAAACAAAGAACTAAAAGTTGCCATTGAAGACACAATGAAGACACACATGGCTCAGGAACTACGTGCACAAAGCGAAGAACTCATGAATGGTCTATCCGAGTACGTACTTAGATATTGCGGACCCATGAAATTCCACTGGTACTTTCAAGGCTGGGAAGACTTAAAAAAGAGTGCATTAGACGCAACGCATGGCGCTTGCAGCCCCTTACAGTATGTATTTGGCTATAATGTGGGCATCTATATCCAGCTGAAAAAAGAGGAGGGGCAGATGATTTTTGGGTTTTTTATCCGTATTTATCCAGGCGTCAACGATTCAAAGCTGGAATGGCCCTTCAGCAAGACTTACACGCTCGGTGTCATTCATCCCAAAGACAAAGTGAAAAGAAAGATTGATGTAACCGATGCAAGTAAATATTCGGACCAGACGAGCTTCCAGATGCCAGAACAAGACGGTAATGCTGGTTTTGGAAGAAGGAATTGGAGTACCGCTAACGTGCTCGAAGGGGAAGGGTTTGTTAATGACGATGCACTTCACTGTTTTCTCCAAGTTGAGCCGTAGTGTTTTTTTTGTTTTTTTCGATAGATTAATAATTTAATATCGAGAGGAGCAGAAAATGTTCTACTGCCTGGAAAAAACCGCTTACCTGATCCCATTGAATATAAAACGGATGCAACAACTCTTTCTCTTTATTCTCAAAAAAAAAAAAAAAAAAAATTGCGTCCCGAGTACGCGACACACCCCTTTCGGTGTATTTACCAGCAGGAAACCTAAAGTTCATCTGTACGCACTGTAACTAACACTGATCGTCTCACTGCAGCTACGACTGTAATATAAAAGATGGAACTTCTCTTTACGACAGGCCGCCACAGTAAGCCCGCATCCAAACGCAGGCGCAGCGTCTCTCTTAATGTATATTGTATATAAGCATAAAACTCCGCTCTATTTTAGATCTTTTTAACTCTGCCCTTTCCTTAGTGAGGGCGAGGAATGCCGCAACTGCCTAATTACAATGTAAATATTTAAATCTATATTAAGCTGGTCAAAAATCTACGGCATGCACCAATTCAACGGACTGCTACTTTTGCGGGCAACAAGTCTCGCATCGAACATTGCGCTGCCTACGTCATATATATTATGAGATTCGTGTTTTTTTATTTTATACTGAGCTCGGTACTTCATTAAATGACACCTTTGCGAGTGCGTTGGGCGGCGAATATCCCCCTCTAGCCGTCTGCTACGTAGATTCCGATGGAGGGAGTGTTTCTCCTCTCTCTCTAGATAACATTTTATAAGGCAGGTGTTGCCAAACGTTTGCAGTGGCGGGCCGAGTCGTCACGAAACCGAAAAGGAGTGAGCCGGACAGAAAGTCTCAAGAGGGAAAGGGGAAGGGGAGGCAAACGAGTAAAGAAAAAGACACAAAAATACACTGGCCCGAATTCGCATTAAGGACTGTCCCAATAATTCCGATTAGCTTGCAGCGCTCAACCCCTTAAAGGGCAAGTCCGCTTCTTTTCCAGTAGTGCAAAACTATACAGTTCTCTTTGTTATCATCTACAAAACCCCCATGGCAAATATTACGACGGAATTCCGCCTAGAAGTTCATTAAAATCGCTGTCAAAGTTTGACAAGCACGAATCCGCTGGTTTTGGATGAGACGTGCGGGCCAGACAACACTGCCCGGCTGCATTTCCGCTTCCTCCAAATTCCTTCTCCCGGCACGTCCGTGACGTCATCAAGCATGTACAGCTTCTTTTTTTTTTTTTCAATTTTTTTTTTTTTTTTCCGGGGAGAGCACGGGGAGAGTGACGCGCTCGGATAGGCCCATCGCCTCGTTGAGCGCGGCTTGTGTGTTCAGTGCGTATACTTTTGAACACCAAGTAAAAGGAGGAGAGGGAAGCTGCTTTTGTAAGAATTTCGAGTGACAGGTTAATCTTCTTTAAAGGGCAACTCCGGCCAAAACTCAAAATGAAATAAATTACTGGTATCGCTTTAGTGACACAAAATACGACCCCAGCCAAAATTTCACGTCCGTGGGACGCCGCATTCTCAACTAATGCCGATAATAAAAACGCGACCCGCCGCGAGCCGCTGCTCCTTAGCGGGCGGCCAGCGGGTTGCCGATCGCTAAAGCAACATTGGGCCGTGATGTCAACATCGTCCTCTTTTTTTCCTCCGTTCCGGACGGGCGCACGGCGCAGCCGTCGCGCGCGCTTCTTTGTGCCGCTAGCACCGCTACTTCGGCTTGTAATTGTGTGTTTAGCCGTTGCTTTTACCTGTAGCCCGTGTAGCTTCGGTATAGCCTTTTGTTTATTTGCTTGTGAGGACTCCTAGACTCGTTTTAGCGAGCAACTCGGTGCGCCCAAGACTGCCCAGCTGTTCCTCGAAAGATGCCGAGTACAACTTAAAGCGCTGTGGGCTGCTCAAACAAGCCGCTGCGCAACCCGGAGGTGCTTTTTCACAAGTTTCCAACGGATCGGAAATTGGAGAAGGTGTGGGTGAACGCTGTTCGACGAGTGGACTTTGGAAAGCCTTGGACGTCGACCCCCAGATCGAAGCTCTGCTCCTATCATTTTTCGCCGGAGAGTTACGAACGAAACCTACGGGTGTTGGTTGCTTGTGGCTTGTCAGCGAAGGGGTCGAGGCTTAAAAAGGATGCCGTGCCGTCGCTCTTTGCCCATCATACATGTACAGAAAAGGTAAACATGATAAAAGTATCCTGATCAATAAATAAAACAGTCATTGTCAAGTGCAGTGTTGAAGATTGAGCATTCACGCTCCATTGAATGTCTGTTGAATGGGGAATGGTGGGCATGTAGAGTACAACTGGTACAACCACTAACTAGCTCCAAACACTGAAGTTTGTAATGAAAACGAAAACAATGTTCTGCTTTGCGTCACTGCTTGTTTGTTCAGGTCTGTAACGACTACTAACGAACAGCCGGCGCGTGAAGCTCATGCGATATAAACAATCGCCTTCCAATCGTTCCAACCCGTTACGCAGCAGTATTAATTAACATTGCGCTTGTTAATACCACAAAGGACTTTTAAGAAATCGCGAAAGTTCGGATTTGTAAGTTACAACTTTCTAATTTGCCCGAGTTCGGCTGGAGGTAAATATAATATTTAAAAATGCAAAAAAAAAAAAAAAAGACAACACTTGCCTTAGTTAAAAGTTACGAAGGAAAACTTAAAATCCTATGTATTCTAATAAAAAAGAATTGTTGTGGGGGGGGGGGGGGTGGAATGCGGAAGGGAAAGAAATTGTTCTCACCTTGCTAACGTTCTCTGTTTTCCTTTATCACCCACAAATCTTTTGCTAGCTTTAAGAAGAAAATGACTGCCCAAAGAAATTTTTTTTTAGTGCTGCAAGTTTTTTTTGTTTTGTTCTTTTTTTTTATTTCTACGAAGATTCACTACCTGGACGAACTTATGTGGTGAATTAGTGTCGTAGCTTACAAATTCGGCTTTTACGCGCCTGAGGAAAAAATAACGAAAAAACAGACGTCTACAGCTTGACACACGTCTGTTCGGTTGTTGCGGAACGCGCCGTGGAGAGCCTCAAAGCTTCGTGTCTGGGACTGACCCGCCGCGCGAAAGCGCCAGCACTGTACGTCACTGGCAGCGCGGCGTAGAGCAACGCCGCTTTATCCACGGAGCCCCGATGACAATTTAGGTCTAGCGACGAGTGCGGGAGACCGCACGCACGCCGACAGCTGCCCAGTACGGCACCGAACTAGTTCACTCGTTTTCTAGTCGCTAGCTTTTAGGTATACAACCAACGAGTACGGCACGGCATAGCGCACGCGCGGCGGTGGCCGCCGAGTACGCCACCGAACGAGTTGACCGGTTTTCCAGTCGCTAGCTTTTGGGTATACGCACTAACTCTTGCTACATATGCTGGATAACTACCAGGTATACAGAATTAAAACAAAATCAGCTTACATTTTATCTTTAGACGGCTAGCGCAACAGAGGTAGGTGCCGCTTGGACTGCGTACTCGCTGAACGAGAACGACCTTGGCGTCACGTCCACATAGCGGTTGATTTCCAGTGTTGCCGGAACCTCGAGCGGCTAGTTTCGGTTTTATCGGCTGCGCCCCAAACAAAACTTTGAGACGTCGATATCTTTAAAACTACGCACAATAACGAGAAAAAAATTACACCTTGCAACTCAGGGGCGCTAACTGCACTATAAACAGCCATAATCCCAAAATCGAAAGTATGAACCGGAGTTGCCCTTTAATCTTCTTGGAGGAGATAGCGACGCCTGTGCTAATCCAGGAGGCACAAAGGAGGATCCTGATAAGAAAGGAGCTCCTTCTTCCCCTTGTATATCACGTGGGTGTACATGCTTAGTGATGCCGAATATACAATGTTGTCCGGCTTTGCCACCGTTTTGGTTTCGGTTTGTGATCATGGCTAGAGTAAAATTACACGAAAAATATTTTATTTTTCGCGAAACAAAGGATTGGGGATTGTTTTTGAGTTCTTCAAAAAGCAAAATCGGCCACTATCTCAAAATTTTTGAAATTAAGCGGAGTTGCCCTTTAAACGCTGCCTTTCTGATTGAGCAGTGACCCCTTGGGTAGCTCTATAAACGCGAATACCATACTCGAAACTTTCCAGAGCGCGCACATGCGGTCTGGTGACACGCGCCCCTGTCGCGGCGCTCTAGTGTCTCGAGCCCTCCCGTCGGCGCTCTCGTGTTGCGCTCTCTTGAGCTATACACCAATATGATGATGATGATTAACTTTGTGGCGCAATGGCCTCATTGGGGTAGGGGAACATAAGTAGGAAAAGTTTAAAACATGTGGCAAAAGGTTAGCATGTATCTGTCCAATAGAATATTGTAAGCACGGCGCCCGACTGGTGTCCATGCGTGCGAGCATCTGCAGAGTGCGCCTTAAAGGGACAACGAAGACAATTTTATTTTATTTTTTCAAATAGTGTTTTTATGCTTCCTGGGAACATAGCATGCTGCCCAATTTTTGTAGACATTTGTGACGCGTATTTCTGTGCCTAAAAAAAGAAGTAAAGAAACCGAAAGTGAACAATCCCCATTCTCGTTTCTGGGCCTCCGAAAACGGAGGTGACGTAGGGAGTGACGTCAACTGTGAATAGTCAGTATCGGTAGTATTTAAGAGATCAAGACTCGGGTTATCGCGGTGGGTTCTAGCAGCGCGGTGGCGCGGTCGTTTTGTGGAATCTGTCTACATGGACGGCAATGCCGCTCTCGCGAGCGAGTTCGAGCTTCCGTTCAGTGACCCAACAAAAACGGAACGGGAGTAGGTACGTGTGCGGCGGCCTCCGCCATCACCCGACGGAGACCGCCCAGCTGGCAACGAGCGGCCCGCAGGCTCCGAACAGGGACGCGGGGGAGATGCCGGGGGGAAAGCGGCAGCTATCCGGCCGTTCCGGGAACCGGTTCCTCCGCGGGGGACGCTCCACAAGAAGGAGAAAATAAACAGCGCCATTTTTGGTTTTCACCAAAGTCGGACGTCCTCTTTTCGTCGTCAAAGACAACGAACAGCAACACACACGTGAAAACTAGCGTCGCCCGAACGAATGCTGGT